TTTTTTTTTTTCTCCTTGCAACAGTTGATTATCCCATATGATAAAAACAGTTGGAATAAAGGTGATTTTCATACTTGTGATTCTTCTAGAAAGTCTTGAATATGGTTGGTGATTAATGATGAGAAAGAGTAGGTGCACATTTAATTAAATAAATTAAAATAAAATAAAAGAATTAGGAAATAAATTAAAATAAAATCAAAGATTTTTTTTTAAAAAAAAAATCTTTGTGGCCTCTCTCTCTCTCTAAATGTTGAGTGCAATTTATATAAGATGTCTTTTAAAAAAAATAAAAAAATAAAATTGTTCACCTGATAAGTGGAAAACTTTATTTTTAGAAGAAATCGGATAAATTTGGTACAAAATAAATATTAATAATTAAACTTCATGTAGTATAAACATAATAAAATATTAATTGATAAGATTATCAGTTGGAAATATGTGAATTAATGGATAATTTCTTTGTTAAAAATTTCATGATGATAATTATTTTTTTTACTTTTTATTTGTGTTAGCGGGATGTAGAAAAAAATGTGCGATGAAATGAATAGTATTTTTTTGGATTTTTTTATTTAATTTTATTTCACTTTAGTGGATAAATAATAAATATTGATTAAAAATCTTGATTTATTATTCTATCTTAAAAATTATGTTCCTTGGAAGGATATAATAATAATAATAATAATAATAATAATAATAATAATAATAATAATATGTTTAGGATTTTCTTTTGAGGAAATGCTACGGTCCCTTACAGAATCATTCTGTCGAGGTTTGTAACCATTAGATTAACTATCCGCAACGGTTACATGATGATATAACGGTTACAAACCCCAACGGTATGGTTCCGTAACGGGACCGTAGCATTCCCATCTTAATGGATTTGTGATTCATGGTGGTGGCAAATATTGACCGGGTACATTTCATGTAATTTTTTTTTTTTTTTGTATACCTTCCGGTTTCCGGATCCACAGGGGAACTGACTAATCCGGAATCGAATCAGGTAGGACCACAAGGGCGGCAAAACTCTCCTGCAAAGTTTTAATCACATTTCATGTGATTTTCATTCACGGGTATTTGCCTATCTTTTCAACTTACACTTATCACGGTTCTAGGCCCAACATAAGCTTTGAACACAATTGACAATTGACTATCAATAAATGGGCCACGGCCCATTAACTTTTTCAGGTGGAGAAGCAAAAGTGTGTAGATTTACGTACTATGTCTATATGTTTGGTTTGATCTCAATGGCAGATTTGCCATTGAGAAATTTTTTATTGCATATATAGCATTTATAAAACAGAATATTTGCATATATGCATAAGATATCAGTTACCTAATAAAAGATAACTGATGCTCAGCTTATCCGTTATTAAGAGAGAGAAAAACATAACGTCATCATCTTCCAATCAAATATACCAAAGAAAAATCTAGAGCGACATTATTTCTTCCATGATCAAGAAATAGTTCTGTAAAATATATGATATGTGATGTATACAAAACAAAAATAAGACATCCGTGTTATGTGATGTATACAAAACAAAAATATGTCCGGATTAATATACAACATATATACAGAAAATATACAACAAATATACTCTATAGATTGAAAAAAAAAAATCTACAAAAAGGACACGATCTGAAATATACAGAACACACACGATCACAAAACCAATCATCTTGCTGCTATAAGCGCCCATCGAAAAAATATGCATAATATACACAATTACAAAAACATATATACATAAACGCCCATCGAAAAATATACATAATATACACGATTACAAAACATATATATAGAACATATACATAACATATACCTACAATTATGCAAACAACAAAAAAAAAAGTATAAATATACTACATATATGCTATATATATACAACATATATACCGTCTGGTCTAGTCCTCAGCTCAACTAAAACCTAACCACAAAATCTACCCTACGGCCCTTCTTCACCAACTACCTCAACGTCGGACTTGCTCCGCCGACCGCTGAAAATCACCTTCGCCGGTCCCTGAAAATCTTCGTATGGATTGCTTCGTCGGCCACGACCGTCACCGTGCGCGTGGGGCAAGCCTGACGGCCGTAGGAGATAACCTTGTCAGCGGCGCCGCGTTAGTCAGAAATATACTCGGAAAGACGTCCAAAGACATAGTCATTCTTGTGCAGCAGTATAAAAGATGCGTAGTAAAGTATTTATATGTTGAATTTGAAGGTGGGGTTTGAAAAGCGACAGTGAGTAGAGAAATAAGAATAGGTTAGAAGGGTTTTATTGGTTGAAAGATTCAGTGATATCACCGTCTTCGATCGATCGAGAGAAAAAGAACAGAGAGAGCGAGAGATAAGAAGGAGAAGAAGAGAGAGGGAAGAGAGACCTTTAATTACGTTAAATATTAATTGTATCTTTAAATTAATCATTTTTTATAAATCTAGTAAATTTGCAATTAATTATGTCAGGTTTTGTATATTTGTTAATACTTACGTATGAGTTTCTTTTATGTAATAATTTATGATATTGCTTGTATAGAGTGTAATTTCCTCTATTTTTCTTTGTAGCAAATCATGTTATCGTATTGTATTTTATGTTATTTTACAGTAGCAAATTTTAACTTTGACTATATTTTTTTTTATTTAATACTTTTCGTGTTGTATTTTTAATTGTGTCATGTGTCATCATGTCTTTTATTTTCAAAAGCTTGTTAATGTACTTGTTAAGACTCAAATATAAATTTTTTATATAATTTTCTATAGTTCGTCTGTTAATGTCCGAGTGCAACTCTTAAATATTGATAAAAGAGTTGGGCTCGTAGATCATTTTATTTAGCTAACGAGCCGATCTCAACTAGACCAGAGAAAGATTCGAGCCCGAAATCAATTATCAGGAATTCAAGTTCGCTCCACTACAAGAAAATGATGAAATTCCAACGGAAATATATTTCAAAAGAATTATTCCGACGGCAATTCCAACGGATATTTCAATACTATTATTTCCGTTGGAATTTTTCAATGGATTCCAACGGAAATTCCAACGAAAATATTCCCTTGGAATGAGTTTTCCATTGGAATTTCCGTTGGATTTTGACGATTCCAACGGTGGATTTTCTAACGGGGTTGAAAAAAAATTCCAACGGAATTTACATATTCCAACGGAAATTCCTACGGTAAAAAGCCGTTGGAAATATAGCCGTTGGAATCATCAAATTCCATCTAAAATTCCAATGAAAAACACATTCCAACGGAATATTTCCGTTGGAATTTCTGTTGGAATTATTCCAACGGAAGCTATTCCATTGGAATATCCGTTGGAATTTCCATTGGAATATATTATCATAGGATTTTCCGTTGGAATATAACATTTATTTTGTAGTGCTCGTCTTGTTTACACCTCTAGTAAAGTATGATCAAAAGCACTTATTAAATTTATTTTATAATTCAATTGTACCTTCGTTGTCTCTATTCTTTTTCAAATAATATGTTTAAACCATATTCAAGTCGTGATTTTGTATAACAAGATTGTTAATAATAATAATAATAATAATATAATAATAATAATAATAATAATAATAATAATAATAATAATTAATAATAATAAGTGAGGAAAAGTGCAAATCTGGCAAAGGGACATATTCATTTCTCCATGACAGATTCAACACTCCAAGTTTTCATAATACTATTCTCCTAACTCCAATAATATCTCAGACCAATATACTTTCATTAAAAAATGTCATACGTCAAAAAATAACATAAACATAAATATAATGCTATTGTAAATATATGTGGAATTAACCACTTATAATAGGTTTATCACTTTTATTATTTTATTATATTTAGTGTTGAAATGTGTGCCCCTTTGCCTATAAGACCGTCTCCAACCGAGACGGAAAACGCAAAATGCGACCCAAAAATCCTCAAAATCTCTCCAACCGATTCTGAAACGCATACCCAAATTGCGTTTACAGCATTCTCTCTCCTCTTGGTACTGCAAATTTGCGTTTGATCGCAATTTTTTGCGTTTGCACTTTTTAAATTATAATCTCAACCCTTTTTTTATTTTAATTACAAATTGGTACCTATTAACAAACAAAAGATAATTAATAACACCTAATATTGATTTGGTTATTAATATAAAATAGTAATAGAAATAATTTCATAAAAATTACATAGTATAATATTTAAAATAATAAATATTATATTTATCATTTAATTTTATATATTTCACAATAATAAGGTAAAATATACATATTATTTATGTGATTTAGAATGCTAAGATAATATGAATTGGAAAGATAATTTAAAACATACTAAAATTTTCTTTTTTTTTTAATTTTATTAAAATAATGAATAACATATTATTCTCCCTTTTTTTAATTTCATTAAAATAATGAATAACATATTATTTTATATTAGTTCACAATAATAGTGTAAATATACATATTAATTTTATATTTTTTCACAATAATAATGGGTTATTATATAGTTGATAGCATATATCCAAAATGGTCTACCATTGTGCAAACAATTCATGAGCCACGTG